AGGACCTTTGATGAGTGTTGACTACTTCTTCTACCATGCCTATACCTTGGGGTTGAGAGAGTTTGGTGTATACTCTGTATTTGGGTCATGCCTGATGGGCAGCTGTGATAAATGCCACAGGAAAGTTTACCAGTAACCCCTGTCTCACTTCTGGGGTGCCATGGGTCCTTAATTAGGAAATAAAGATTCCCCAATCTGCATAAAAGGTAGAATGCCTTCCAGAATATGCACCATGTTTCCCACAGGACCAATAAAGACAGCCTCCATTAGTCTCTGGCCACCATCAACAGTGATCCCTAGTTTGATCATTAAGAAAGCGAGCATAGGGTACAATTTTTTAGAAGTCGCTTTAGGTGTTATAAAGATAAGTATCCCTTTTGGGCAACCTGCTGATGAGCAGACTCCAGGCCCCACCACACAAGTAGTCTGACTGAACTGTTATGTATAAGTTTCCTAAACCTTTGAAATCTTAATATAGCAGTATTGTAGAGGGGGAAAGAAATCAAAAACATGTTTCATTGCCTTAAGTTACTCTGTCATACTTTCACAGCGTGCTTTTAAAACCTAGCTCTCATATTCTCAGACCCTCATAACACTTTCTTACACTCTCAGAACTTGCTTTAGCTTTCACATTCTCCATCTAACCGTTTACCAGACACACCAGTAATTATTACTGAGCTCAGTCATTGCAAAGCAAGTTCCTTCTTAATGCTGAGACCCTTTAATACAGTTCCTCAAATTATAGTGACCCCAACCAAAAAAATTATTTCATTGATACTTTATAAGTGTAATTTTTCCAGTGTTGTGAATCATAATATAAATACCAGAGGGTTGCAGCCCCCACACAGGTTGAAAACCACTACTTAAAACCTCTCTCTCTCTCTCTCTCTCTCTCTCTCTCTCTCTCTCTCTCTCTCTCTCAGTCACTCACACACACACACACACACATAATTAAAAGGCCCACCTGACACAGGACAAGGATTTTTAAGGACACCTTTAAACAAACATGCTTGGGTCTAGAAGAGAGGAAGCCATAACTACAGTAGCAACTCCAGAGCCAGCTTTCCAGCAAAGCAGAACAGCACAAAACAACTTTAATATTATCCACACTCAAAAGACATTCAAATCCCTGTTGAACTAAGTGCAGTGACCGAAAAACCCAGAGATAAATTCTGAGGGCTGGCCCTCAAAGCAACCATGGAAAGTGCCACTAGCAATGGTGGCTGGTGACTGGCAGTGGCAGAAAAAAAAATAAAACAAAATCAATAAACACAGAACTCAGAAAGCTCACATGCGCAAAGGAGAACAGTCCAAAACCAAACATGTGGTGGTCACCATCATTCATCCATTCAGCTGGGCCTGATGCAATTCTGTCTCAGCTCCCTGCCAGTGGCCAGCCCTGGGGCTTGGCAGGTTACATAGAGGAGACAAGGGGTAGGAAAGCAAGGATTGAGCCAGGCCATTTGTGGTTGGGAGAATCTTGCAGCCTGACTGGCAGCCAGAGTGCTTCTTTATTTATAAAGAATTCAGTTAGATTCATGTTGTTCCAAAGCATAGATCTTATCATTTCTGTTCCTGGACACAAGTTTTAGTCATCATGGATAAACTATGGCACATCAGAGTTACCTTTTACAGCCATTTTTTCTCATCAACCCCATAACCCAGCTTCTGGGCAGCTCTTGTAAAAAGAAAATCTCCAAGCCAGCCTGGGCAGATTGTCATGTCCCAAGAAGTGTATTATTAACTCTTAATGGTCAGAGTGACCAAGGAAAAATCCTCAGGCCAAAACTGCTGCAGTTATTATTCAATTTCTGGCATAATACAATGTTTACATTTTATATCTTTATAGAATGCATTTATATGTCTAACCCTGGCATTCTTTTGTTCCTTGGTCACATGACACCACAGTGACTCTGCATGAGCTAACTTTTTCTAAGAAAGGGAGGTCCTGACACATCACATCCTCACACACACGCCTGTCCGAGGGTATAAGGAGAAGTGTTTAGGGCGTGGTTAGGGAATCACACTGGCACACTGAGGTTGTAGGCTCTCCTCCGTGATCCATGGCCTCACTAGTCCTGGGTTCCAGCACGAGGCATGATATTCCACCTACTGAGTGGGCTGTATGGCTCATATCTTAAGAGATTTTATTTAAACCAACGTAGTCAGATTTTTACCTGAACATGTAATAAAAATGGAAATTCTAAGAATGACAGATTTGGGGCTGGGAGATCTTTGTATTACTCTTGCTGGGTTTTTTTTTTGAGATTATAATATAGTTCCACACTCCCCTTTTCCACTCTCCTCCCTCCAACCCCCACATCCACTTTTCCCCCTCCCTCTCCAAATTCATGGTTTCTTTTTCACTAATTGTTGTTATGTTTGTATCTGTCTATCTGTCTGTCTGTCTGTCTGTCTGTCTGTCTGTCTGTGTATTCTCAACTGCATAAATACAACCTACTCAGCCCATATAAAGTTACTTGTATGCATATGTTTCAGAGCTGACCATTTGGTATTGGATAACCATTTGGTGTGATCTTCCTCAGGAAAGCCTCTCTCCCACTCTCAGCGTTCCTTAGTTGCCCGCAGTTCTTTGTACAGGGCTGAAGCCTCGGGTGCTTCCCTGTCTGGATTTTTACTGGAACATGAAGACGAAGATTCTAAGTACAACACGTTTGGGTTTTGTACTGTCGAACCTCTGTGTGCATTTAACACTTCCATAACATGCCAGCATAGGTCACAACAGTTGCCATGACAGGCACAAGTCTGAGCTTTGATCTTTATTCTCCTCACAGCACTGTCACTTTCCAAAATCATATTCAATTTTTGCTTGCTTATAATCTGTGTGCCCTGCTGAATGTAATATTCCTATAAAGGGTGAGGATAGCTCCAGTGCCTGGACCAGTGCTCGGCAGAGAGTAAGTAACACAAAGCTAGGTAGTGACTGAATGGTTTAATTCAGCGAGCATGCTCACAGCACTGTCTGCTGCAAAGATGGAAGCATCTTTTACAGCAGGCAATATGAACTGAACACCTCAAAAAGCACAATCTTCAGCCCAGTTATTCCATTTTAGGAACTATTCCATTAGGATTTTAGAAGTGTAAATATATATTACTCAGTATAATACAAAATTGCTCACTGCAATATTGATTAAAAAAATCAGAAGCATCCTTATTTATCCAACTGTAGAATAATAAACAAGCCATCATGTATACATGGAAATTAATATATTACTTGATCAATTAAACTATTTAAGAAATCCCATAAAATGGTTTAAATAGATGACAAGAGTCAAACTGTGTGAATGATTTACGAGCATACATTGATAAAAACCTAGAAAAAATAACTATGATACTAAAGATGGTATAGGTGATGGTATATGCCTTTCATCCCAGCACTCAGAAGACTAAGGCCAGAGGACTGCAAGGATACCAGTCTGGGATACAATGGACTCAAGACCAGCCTGGGTTCCATAGCTGGACTCAGTTTGTTCCTTCTCAATAAGCAGAACAACAGATGCCATTTCTTTTGGGGAAAAGAGGGAAATTGGAATCCCTGAATACCTGAGCTTGTGACCGGTGCCTTCACTTATCCAGTGAGCAGTTATGGAGTGCCCACTAAATCAGGAGCACCATTCTAGGCATTTCATATACAACACTGACGTGGGGCATAGAGGGCCTAGACAAATGGCATTAAAAGCTGTTCCTGTAGAGGAACTGAGCTTTGTTCCCAGCTCAGTTCCCAGCTGCCTGGAGCTCCAAGAGGATCAACACCCCCAGCCTCCATAGGCATTCTCTCTCTGTATGTCTGTCTCCGTGTGTGTCTGTCTCTCTCTGTGTGTGTGTGTCTGTCTCTGTCTCTGTATGTCTGTCTCCGTGTGTGTCTGTCTCTGTGTGTGTCTGTGCGTGTGTGTGTGTGTGTGTGTGTGTGTGTGTGTGTGTGTCTGTCTCTGTGTGTGTGTCTCTCTCTCTGTGTCTGTGTCTGTCTCTCTGTGTGTGTCTGTCTCTCTGTGTATCTGTCTCTCTGTGTCTGTCTCTCTCTGTGTGTATCTCTGTGTCTGTCTCTGTCTCTCTGTGTCTGTCTCTGTCTCTCTGTGTCTCTGTCTCTCTGTGTGTGTGTGTGTGTGTGTTTCTGTCTCTGTGTGTGTCTGTCTCTGTCTTTCTCTGTGTCTGTCTCTGTCTCTCTCTCTCTGTGTCTGTCTCTCTGTGGGTCTGTCTCTCTGTGTCTCTCTGACTCTGTGTGTGTGTGTATCTCTCTGCCCTATCTCTGCTGTATGTTTCTTCTTGGTATTTAGCGATGTACTATTCAATCATGCGATTGACTGGATGATAGGATTCAGAGAATGTGCTAGCAATCAATACCCTCTTCATATTGCTAATATTCCTCATCAGTTAGAATTGTAGGTGAATGTTTATTCACTTCTGAGTGGCTCAAGACATGCTGTCTTTTCCAAAAGTCGCTGCTGTTCTTTTCAGAAGTAAAGCACTTTCCCTCCTTAGACTAGCATCGTGTTACATATGTGTCAACCGTTGATGCTGTCTTTTCCAGCCACAGCATGAGCTCCTGCAGTGCCCCACGTCAGTGTTGTATATGAAATGCCTAGAATGGTGCTCCTGATTTAGTGGGCACTCCATAACTGCTCACTGGATAAGTGAAGGCACCGGTCACAAGCTCAGGTATTCAGGGATTCCAATTTCCCTCTTTTCCCCAAAAGAAATGGCATCTGTTGTTCTGCTTATTGAGAAGGAACAAAACACTAGCAAGTACCAAGTTGATTTAAAGGTCAGTTTTCAATGAAGATTTCCAGGAGTGTTCCATCTCTAACACATGACGTACTTGGTCTCCATCCTTCCTCCTGCCCTTGCTTCTCACACAAGATGGTGTTCTGGGATGCCCATCATGTATCCGATAATAATTTCCATAAGAGTTAAACCCTATCTTTCCCTTATGTATCCCTGTGTAGTTAAACCCCGTCCCTCCCTTCTGGGTCCCCATGTAGGCATATATGGCTGAAATGCAGATGGTGACTGAAATTCTTCATTACCTGGTCCAGCGGCCTGAGGATTATTTGGAGAACATTGAAAATGCTGTGAAGCTTTACAAGGAAACACTTCTTAAAGCTTTAGAGGTGAGAACAAGATGTTGCTAGAGTGGGAATGTTGCCAGTCATGCTTCCTGTATCATTAATGGTTTTCAATTGAATGTTTAACCAAAGCCCTCAGACAAGGCTTTTGTCTCCGTGTCTCTTCTTTTTTTAAAGGTGTACTCATTTAGGGTGTGTGTGTGTGTGTGTGTTGATGTGGTATAAGTGTGTGGTGTGAGTGTGTGTGTGTGTGTGTGTGTGTGTGTGTGTGTGTGTTTATGTGTACCACATGTATCCAGGAGCCTGTGAGGGCCAGAAGAGGGTAAAGGAACCTGGGCTGTAGCTACAGGCAGTTGTGAGCCACCACCTGGGCACTAGGAACTGAACTTGGGTCCTCTGTGAGAGCAGAAGTAGTCCTAACCACTGAGCAATCTGGCCAGCCTCTCAGATGTCTTTCTCACAATTATGTTATTTTACTCCCACAAAGCACCCCTGGGCTGCTCGGGAAATTTAAATGTTTTGAAAAGTCACTGTGCTGTTTACAGAGATGGGAATATGAAGGTGGACCTCATCAACAAGATAAAAAGTTAAAACAGATCCCACTTTTTAACTCAGTTTGTCAGACTGTAAAACCTGAAACAGCCAGTGATGGCAGGAAAGAGTGGACATTCCCTTTGCAGTGCTTGTGAGACTTTTGAAATGTAAAACCTTCCAGAAACAGTAAACAATACCTACTGACATTATCACCTACTTTTAGAAACCTGGCCTTTCTCAGCCTCTGAGGACACCATGTGAAGATGCTTAGAAGGGAGGATTCAACAGGTGTTTGTGTGCAGTATTTATAGCAATGTGTGTGTGTGGGGGGGGACAGAGAGGATGGAAAATATGTTTGTCTGTCCTTCAGTGGCTGCTGTGAATCCAGTTACTTTGGTAATCATTGAAGAAAATATATTTTTAATTTTAAAAATAAGTAGAAATGCTTTAAAACAATTATCAAGATACTATAATCTAGTTAAATGTGAATACAAAAAGGGTGTTAAGTAAGCTTTGTAGCCACACTATGTGATCCTATACAGTCATGAAGATGTGACATCGACATGATCTTGTAAATATATAGGGGAATATTAATTATAACGCTTAGTGGAAAAGTAGGCACGAGAGTTTCAAAGACATTATTATCTCAAATAAGCAAAACAAAATTTTTTTTTCACAGAATAATCCAGTGCCTGGATTAAAGATCTTTTTCTTTGTATCCTTCTGTTGTATAAATTTTCTATAAAAATGTGCTCTACAGCCGGGTGGTGGTGGCACATGCCTTTAATCCCAGCACTCAGGAGGCAGAGGCAGGCGGATCTATGTGAGTTCGAGACCAGCCTGGTCTACAAGAGCTAGTTCCAGGATAGCCTCTAAAACCACAGAGAAACCCTGTCTTGAAAAAAAAAAAATGTGCTCTACAGTAATAAAAAGTGCAGCATGCTACTTAAATGTTATTATCTATATGAAGAAAGTACAGAATTTAAAAGTCAATCAGCTTTTTTATGGTTTCAAAAAATAGCAAAGCTACAGTTATGTGCTGCAAACCCTCAAAACATTTTGTGTTAGGAAGGACTTTTAAACTTTGGAGGAGAGGAAAATGAGGGGGGCAGCAGGAGCTGGGGGTGTAGCTCAGTGGTTCCTCAGTTGTCTGTTCTGGGCAAATCCCCAGCACCTCAGACAGGTGTTCATGGTAAGAAGGCTCTGCTTTTGCAAAAGATCTGTCCAGTGCTGAAAATGATAGGCTTTATAGCCTGCATGAGGTGAGTGAATTAGCTCTTAGGATTTCCTATTAGCTATTGAGATTTTCATCCCAAATTCGTCTTTCCCTCTGATATTGAGTTATCGAGTTTCTATTTTATTTTCTCCAGGAGGTAATGGCTGAGCATAATCCCCAGTATCTCATTGAGCTGGATGGGAATAAGTCCCCAGAGGAGCTCTTCTTGGTGAGTGCAGGGTGCAGCACAGGCGTCTTGCAGCCGAAATGTTTCAGTGTTGTATTTGTTTAGTGAGAATTCTATTTCTAATTTAGTGCCATTAATTTTTTTGTTTTGACATCTTAAAATTCCATATTGCATTTAATCATCTGTTCATGTTTAAGTCAAAGCTACATTTGAATTTAAATTTCTCTCTGATCACAGTGTCTCGAAGGAGATTAAAAGCAAATAGCAGATAATAAGCACAAGGACAGGAGACTGAATATTGGTAGTTATTAAGGGTATGAAACTTAAAAGCAGAATGCCACTTTACACCCACTCTGATGGTCAAAGATTTTGTTATGAATGAGATGCTAGGTCTAATACCTAAACCACAAATCAGTGAATAACACAAAACACAATAACGACTTTTTAAATCTCCTAAGTATCTGGCATAATGATAGAAATGCATATGGGAAGGAAGTTTCCAAATCCATGAGTGCCTCCCATTATATAGCATCCAATATATTGAGGAAAATAAATATACAAGTGGTGGTTTGTGTTATAGTTAGAGAAATAATAAGGTTTTATAGCAGAGGACAAAATCTGATGGTCATCTGTGTGAATTTCACTTAGAGGATGAGTAAGAATTAGACTTGAAGGCTATATGCGGGAGTGGGTGGGGCAGTGTCTGCTCATAGACACAAGAGTGGGTGGGACACAGTCTCTACTCATTGATGCAGGAGTGGGTGCAACATAGTCTGTGCTCAGGAAGAGTCTGTACAAAGGGTCAAGAAAGAGGAGAGCAAACTATAGGAACTGAACTTAGGGCTGAAACACAGGGGGTGAGGTAGGAAGTATGGAGCAGTCATGGGTTCTATAGAACTGGGAAGAGCCTTCAATTCAAGAATGCGGGCCTCATCATGAGGGAGCAGGTAGCCAGTGAGATGTTGGAAGCCAGAAAGCTAACAAATCTACTCAGACTTCAGTCTGAGGAAAAAGTAGTGGAGACACAAACTGGTGGTAGGCTAGCTACTTGTGGCTTTCACAGTCAACCCAGCAGAAGATGGTGGCCTAACCTATGCCAGTAGCAATAACAGTGGACAGAAAAGGGGATAAGAAGGAAGAAATGTTTCAGAAGTCTGCATGGTGGGACCTGGCCAGAAACTTAGCAAGGGAACTAAGAGAGGAAGAATTGAAGACAATGACTTATCTCATCAGTGGCACCATGATAAAGACACCAATGGTGGGGCCAGTTCAGAGAGAAACCCTCACATGGGCTATGTGCCTACAAGATTACAGAGCTCTCTCCTCTGTACCAAGGCCAGTGGTCATGTTCATTCTTCAGCTAACTGAATCTCAAAGTGGCATCTGCCACAGCTGTTCATTACTCTTTCCCGATTGTGTCTTTTCTTGGCCTCTAGGAGCCCCACATTGTACCTGTATCAGTTTCCTAGAGTTTTCATGGCAGAGTTCCACAAATCAGACAACTGAAAAGTACATAACTTACTCACTCATAGTTCTGAAAGGTGACAGTTCAGAGTCAAGGGGCTGTCAGGGTAGTTCATCCAGGCCATCTGCCCCAATCTCACCTCTTGCAGCTTTTGTAGCCTTTGGCATTTTATGGTCTATAACAGCATAAACTTCAATGCCTGCCTCTTCTTCACTGGGCTGTCTTTCATCTACCTAAGGAGGAGGGCCAGGGCCAGAGGCCAGAGTATCATGGGTTGAATTTGTCCTCTAAAAATATTTCAGAGATCTAACTGTAGTCTGTGAATGTGACCATATTGGAACATGAAGTCTTTGAGTATTCATTCCAGGTAAGATAAAGTCATATTTAATTAGATTGTCTTAGTCCAATTGTCTTGTCCAGTCAGAGAAGCAGAAGGCAGCAGTATAACAAGGGAGAGAGAGACAGATAGACAAAGAGAGAGAGAGAGAGAGAGAGAGAGAGAGAGAGAGAGAGAGAGAAGTCATGCATACAGAAGCTGAGAAACACCAAAGAGCTAGGACTGAGACTTGGTTAGTTCAGACTGTGCCTACCATATGTGAAGCTCCAGCTTCCATGTCCTGCACTGCACAAAGTGGGCATGATGGCATATGCTGTAATCCTGTGGTGATATCTTGATTGTGCAAATAAAGCTTGTCTGAAGGTCAGAAAATGGAGCTTGCCACTAGCTAACCATAGAGGTCTGTGCAGACAGACAGGAAGTGAGGTAGCTGGGAAGAAACGGGAGATAAGCAGGGGGAAACAGGAAGTTGCTCTCTTGTCTGCTGAGACACTAAGGAGGTAAGGCATGACTGTGACTTGCTCCTTCTCTCTGATCTCTCAGCATTTTCCTCTATATCTGACTCCAGGTTTTTATTACACATAACCCCAGTGCTCGGGAGGTAGAGACAGGCAGTTCACAATTTCAAAAGCATTCTCAACTACATATCAAGTTTGAGCACAGCCTGAGATGCATAAAACATTGCCTCAAAAGATCAAAATAAGAAAAACAAAACAAAACAAAAAAGAAACACCAAAGATTTACAGTAGTGAATAGAAGCCAGGAAAGCCCAAGTGGGGTTCCACTCAGAATCTCAGAACAAGCCTGAGCCTGAACCATGGGCCCATGACTTTTTCATGAGGTTTGACATACTCAAGTGCCAATATATTCAAATGTCTGTTCTTTAAATTTAGACAGTTATAGACCGCCTGAAATACTTGAATCTAAGAAGAGCTGCCATTGTCACCAAGCTGCAGAGTACAGAAGAAGAAATAAATGACATAATAGACACCGTAAGTTCAACTGACCTATTTAAAAGCCTGCCTATTCAATGTTAGCTGTGTCCTGAGGGTGTACCTCCTAAGGTCTAAGGGATAGCTCTCCATAAGGATAGCTTCTTCCAGGAAGAAGCTATGACCTGAGCACACTACTCTTTGTGACACTAAGTACAGCCAGACAGAGATTTCCAAAGGATGAATGCAGGGGTAAAATCAAGCAAGCATTCATGGCCATGCCCTGAAGTGACTGCTGTGCTGGCTCTGATGGGCGGAGGCTTGATGATGGGTGTGATGCTGGTCAAACAGTTAACTGTCTGGCACTGAGGGTTGAAAGGATTTTTAGTTGGAGGATTTGGTGTAGTCAGGGAGGTTTACCTTAGCCTATATGCATAGACAATGTTAAAATAGTGGAACTGTAAGTAGATATCAGAATTTAAATAGGCCAGTAGTTACAGAGGTCATTTTGTTATCCCGCACCATGTAACCTGGAGGGCTCAACAGGTCAGTGCAGGTGAAAGTGTGAACTGGTTCGGCAGAAGAAGGGGGGTGGACACAGTCTGGAGAAATAGCTGTGAGAAACATGTGTGCTTCCCTTTGACATAAAAGGCCAGGAGTTGTGAATGTGTCCATCAGGATAGATTATCTCCATGATCCAAAATAAAGTCTGTGTCCATTTAATTCTCGGAGCTTTGTGGGGCTGGAGAAATGATTTAGTGGTTATAAGTGCAAACTGCTCTTGCAGAAGACCTAGGTTTGCTTCCCAGCACCCACATGGTGGCTCGCAACTATCTGTAACTCCAGTGCCAGGCAATCTGACCCCTTCTTCTGTCCTCCTCAGGCACCAGGTGCACATATATACATGCAGGCAAAGAGCCATACATAAAAAATAAAAATAAATCTTAAAAAATATCTGAGAACTTCATCATTATATGTTCGATGAAGCTACTGGGTTAAAGGTGGCTGATCTGCCAGCTTCTGTGTGTTTTGAAGGACCCTAGACACGTGCTTTTCAACTAAGGACAGGTGATGTTGATAGAATCATTACAGTGCCACATGTAAAGCTGGGACTTTGAGCCCTGACAGTATAGTGGAGGCATGTAGAAAGCTCTTGAAACACACTAATGCCAAAGACCACTTCAAACAGAATTTCTGGAGTAGGATCTAGTACTGATAAAGCAAAACAAAATGTGGCATTAAAAGCACACATTAAAAAACAAAAAAACCCTAAAACTTGGATATACCAAGACCTTGTCAGCAGAGTGAAAAAGTAACCCACTCGATGGAGAGTGATATCTACAAATCACACATGCAGCAATGGTCTACTATCCAGATACATGAAGAATCCTCCAAAATATAGCAACAAAGAAACCAGTTCGTAAGTAGGCAAGGGAACTGAGTAGACATTTCTCTAGAGCAAACATATAAATAGCCCATGATATCATAAAAAGGGCCTAGACAAATAGTTCAGTGGTTAAGAGCACCAGCTGCTCTTCCAGAGGACCTGGTTTTCACTCGGCGCCCACAAGGCAGCTCACAACCTTTAGTAGCTCCAGTTCTGGCATCTTAAGCACTTGCCCTCACACGTACATACCCACATGCTCTCACATGCTCTCATACGTGTTCAGTAAATACGTTCAGTGTTACTGATCATGGGGAACTGGCAATCCAAAGTACAGTGATACCTCCCTCACATTCAGAAGAATGTTACCCAAAGATCAGGATGTCGAGTTCGAGTATTAGCAAGCATGGGGGAAGCTGGAACTCGTTTGCATTGTTGCTCTCAGATTAGGGTTCAAGAGGCACACTGAGAATTACCAGGAACTAAGGAGTTTATTAGAGGAGTCATCAGTGCCGTGGACAGACACAGATAGAAAACAGTGTACTAGGGACTCTGAGGTAAGTTCAGGCTCCACTGCCAGAGACAGCCAGCATTGTGGGCAGGGTCTAGAGAGAGTAAATCAGGGCTTACTAGCAAAAGTAGAGTCTCTTCTTAGACCCTTCGGAGATAGGGGGTGGAGTTCAGAGCACATGCCCATCGGCCAGGCTCTTGATTCCTAGGAAGGAGGCAGGGAAAGGGCACAGAGGCCCCTTTGACATAAACTCAGGTCCCCCAGTGAGAGATCCTGGAACCTGAAGGTCTGCTAGTTAGGTAATTAAAGACAACACCTCAGTCGGGTGCCTGCAGGTGACTGTGGAAGAGGAAGCCTGCTGCTGGTGCTGGTGCCTGAGCAGGAGCTGCATTCTAACACAACATTATATAATATTGCAGATATAAAATGGTGCATCTACTTTTTAAAAGTAACTGAGTGGTTCCTCAAAAAAAAAATACTTTTAGTACTTTTAGACATTTCCTCCAAAGAACTGAAAGTAGGAATACAAAGAGCTAAGTGCATGTAGTCTTGAAATTCACTCTCAGTCACCAAAAGGTGGAACCCTCCAGTGCCTATCAGTGAGTGGATGGCTGAACAACATAGGGTATTCTCACATATTGATTCACAAATGGTGGAATACTATTTGGCCCTAAAAAATAAAAAGCTTAGAGCCAAGTTGTTAGCACACGCCTTTAATCCCAGCACTTGGGAGGCAGAGACAAGCAGATCTCTGTGAGTTCAAGGCCAGCAAGTTCAGCAAGGGTTACATGGTGAGAACCAGCCTTAAAACAAACAAAACAAAAACATGAGTTTGAGGTCAGTGTGGTCTACCGAACGAGTGCCAGGACAGACAGGACTACATAGAAAAATCTTGTCTGAAAAGCCAATAAACAAAGAAACAAAAACCAAAAACCAAACAAAAACAAAACAAAACAAAAACCCAAAACAACCAAACAAACAAACATCAGAAAACAGCTTGGACTCCAATTCATTCTAGACTAAGAGTCCCATACATCTTAAAAGTTTATCAGTAAGATATTTTCAGATTTTGATTTTTGAAGTAGATGATCAAAAATTCCCTGTTACATTTATTACCTCATGAGAAAAAATTTATCTGTAAAATTTAAATGAGATTTTCTTAAAGAGATGAAAACTGGATGAGAGAGAGAGCGAGAGAGAGAGAGAGAGAGAGAGAGAGAGAGAGAGAGAGAGCTGAAGTGGTAAAGGCACTTGCCAGCAAACATGGCAGCCTGAGTTCAAACTCTGGAACCCACGCGGTGGAAGGAGAGGACTGATGCCACTCTGTTCCCTATGCTACCCACATGTGTGCTGGCACACATACACACAAATACACACACACACACACAGGTACACACATGCACACACATGCACAGGCGTGCACACACACATGTACACACACATACACACATGTGCACACACACATGCACCAATGAATGCTCGTGCAGATAGATTTTAAAGAAATGAAAACTAATGTCTTTAAATCTTAGCTGAGTGCAGAACATCATATCTGACCCCAAAGTTAACATGTGCATTCTAAATAGTGCCTTAAATATGATCTTGTTAAGTATGATCATATAACTGTGAGCTATTTGGTACTGCTGACGTCAGCAAAGCTGAGGCCCTCCTTCTGATGTAGCATTTTTTCACAGGAAGAGCTGTTCCGTACACTCTCAGCTTATAAACTCATTGCACCACGGTACAGATGGCATCGAAGCAGGTGGGCACGTTCTTGTCCCATATCCTTAAAGGATGGGAACATTTATTCGGGATCAGTGGATTGTGCTGTGAGGTTAGTAAACTTTCCCGAACCTACATTTTAAAACTGCCCTGTGATGCTTTCAGTTGTTTACTCTTATGGTGTGTTCTAAGTTTTCTAGGTAAAATGTACTGCCTTTCTTCTGAAGAAACATTAAAGTTATTCTTACTGAACCCCCGCCCCTGCCTTCTACCACCTATGCCAATTCCACCGTGTAAAATCTTTATATTTGGGCCCAGAACCTCAGGGAGAACAACGCTGGGCACTCTGCTTGCAGAATACTTCAAAGGAAGGGTAACTATTTGTCTATTTGTTGTTTTAATTGTAGACTTTTAACTGCACTTGGTAGTTGGGTTGCCATGGGGAAGGCATCTCTCCCTTGTCATTGGTGCTGCTAGCTATAGTCCTTCCATGTTTCCACAGCCCCCATATCTCCAGCCGCCATCTCCTGGGTCATACTCCTACTGACCCCTTCACCCCCCACCCCAGTTTCACACCTATACTCATTCCTGAGGATTTCTGTATCTGTAAATACTATCCTCACAGCATGCGGGCGCCCGTATTGGCTTCATTCCCTCCCCTCAGTGATCATGTTCTCCACTCTAAAATGTAAAGAAATTGTATTTAGATAGCAATAACAGCAAGCATCTAAAGGCAGGCAGGCAGGCTCAGAATATGACTAAAGGCAAAGCCAAAAGATTTCATAAGGGTTGGAACATAGAGAAATTACTGAAGATTAGTGTGTGTAGAAGGCTCCCTGTGAAAGCAGGCTTGGCAAAAAGATGGTGTGGTCAGAGAAACCGTGTGAGAGTTCTGAGAGCACTCAAAACATGGCTGAGGGAGGGGTAACAGAGAAGAGGAACCAGTGAATTATAATAAAATAAACCCCCGTATTACCAATCACCCAATGTAAATACAGAATCCCCATATTACCAATCACCCAATGTAAATACAGAATATCCTTAGTTCCCCATGAACAATGTCCATGCTTCTTCCAAGTGCCCATCCCACATGCCTCCACATATCCCCACAAGGTAACTATAGGTAGTTAACTTCCACACGCCTATGCTTTTGTGATGGAAGTATATATTAAGTGCCTCAGACTGAAGTTTTGTGTGTGTGTGTTTTTAAACTTTATGAACTTAGTTTATATCCTTTATAACCCTGTAATTGTAATAGCTGCCCGTGTTACTACGTGCAGCTAGAGTTCATTATCTTTGCTTTATGAACTTTTGGAAAGAAAACTCAGGTTGATTTCAGATTGAGGCATTATGAACAATTCTCATAAAGCTTTTTGCATGAGTCTTTCGCACATACATACATATCTGTGCTTGGGAACTCTGTCCAGTAGGGCTGCTGCTGGTACTGATGAACTATGCATGTGTTCTTTCAGCTTGTGCAGACAATCCCACACAGCTCTGCTACCTTACGCCCCATTAGCTGATTGCTATGTCATATCTCTGACAACTCTTGTTTGGGGGATCTTCCTAATTTTAACCACTCTAGTGTGTCTGGTGATATCTCGTTTACCTAATGACTCGGGAAGTTGGACATTTTCATCTTTATTGGCCATTCATATATTGTCTTTTTGAAGTGGGTGTCCACCTATCTTACCCATTTTTATTGTATTTCTTATATTTTAGTAGTGTAGAGTGTACATGTTTGTATATCATTTTGTTGGATAAACAATATGGATATTTTCTATCATTTTGTGGTGACCATTTCATATGTCTCCTTTTCATTTCCAATTTTATTACTTTGACTCCTCCATCTTTCTTTTTCTTCATTAGGCTAAGAGTTTGGTTTTTTAACCTCATTTTTGCAAATAACCAAAATTTTGTTTCATTGCTTCTTTGTATTTTTCCTTTAGTCTCCATTTCATTTCATCTTGCCCTAACTTTTGTTAGTGCTTTTGGGAGTAGCTTGTTGTCTGAAGTCTAAGCTGTATAATTATCTATTTGAGAGCATTTGAGGTTTTTAATCTAAGCACCCACTAGCTATCAACTTCCCTCTTAGAGCTGCCTTCACTGTGTCCCCAAAAGCACTCAAGAGTTGTGTTTTCATTTAAATTAATATTCCAGGAATTTTTTTAGTCTCCTTCCAGTTTTAATTCAATGACCCTGGCCATTCAAGAGTGTGTTGTCTCAAGGGCTCAGGGGATAGCTCTGGAGTTAACAGTGTCTGCTGATCTTCTACAGAAGCCAAGCTCCGTTGCCAGCATGGTATCAGGTGCCTCAGGATTGCCTGCAATTCCAGCTCCAGGGTCAATGCCTTCTCTGATCTTCATGGGCACTCACATGTATGTGTCATACACAGAGGTATACACATACATACACATACATGAAAACTTTTAAATAAAAAAATTAAAGGGTAGTGTCCAATCTCCAAGTATTTGTATAATTTCTGTGGCTTCTCTTGTTATTAGTTTCCAAGAAATTATTTAAACTCTTTTGTATTTGTTAAGACAGCTGTTATGGAATATTCTTTAGTGTCTGTTAAAGCCATTTGGTCTGTAGTTCAAGTTAACTTTCAAGTTTCTTCATTAAATTTTAGTTTGGATAACCTATTAACTGATGAGAGTAAGGTGTAGAAGTCACCCACTAATATTGTTATCAGGACCTACCTGTTTTTTTTTTTAATGAAAGTTGGAGCCATGGAATTTGATTTATGTATTTCAAATTGTTGTGAATTCTTGGTGTACTGCTCCCTCTATTAATATGTACTGACCATCCCATTCTTTATAAATAATTTTGAACGAGTTTTATCAGAAGAGTTGTGCCAAGTGTTTTGGCCTCTGCCTACTTGGTAGAGTGTCTTTGATGGTGAGGTGGGGTGTTTTTGTTTGATGGTTTTGTTTTTGTTGTGTTTTTTAGGCAACAGATGGTTTAAGCCAATTGACTACACTAGAATCTAGGAGTCTGGAATTGGGATATTTGAGGTGTTTCTTGGTGTGCATATCTGGTCTCATCTTTTCTGTGTGGGGCTCTGGTAGAGAGTTGTTCTTCCCTTTAGGTGGAATCACAGAGGAATGAAGATGGGCTAGAAAGAAAGACTGAAGGGGTCCACCAGAGAAAAAGAGGGGGACCCTGGGTCCCCACCAAAAGGCCCAGTCACTAGGGACAGAGGTAGGCCTGGAGAAGGGGCTCCTGCGGCAGACTGTGGCAGGACTAAAAGCAAGTCTGGAGAGACTAGAATGGAGGTCAGGGAGGAGGAAGGTTCCCTACTTAGTGTTTGACTGAGGGTTCCTGGTAGAGAGTGGCTCTGTGGGCGGGTGGTGGGGGTCAGCAAAGTCACAAAGGAATGGAGATAGGATAGAAGGAAAGACTGAAGGGGGAATCAGGAAAAACTAGGGGATCCTGGGTCCACAGGAGGCTGTGCCTTTTTCTTCCATGTTGATGTTTGAATGTCGTATTTTCTTGACGTCATCCCCATCCCAAACATTCTGTGCCTTATTGTCCCAGACTATTGGATACACTTTTGGCATGTTTGTTCATTTCTTAAAATAAGATTCATTGAGGTTTTTATTCCCAACATTTCCCCCTTTATTTTTTTTAATTCGAAAGCCCAGGCTCTGCTGGATTTCTTCTCTCTGCTGCTCATCTTTCCATCCCTGTTCCTGATGGTCTCATCCACACACAGATGTTCTCACCCATGCCATCTGCTGTCCTTCCCAGATCATGGGCTGCTTTCCTTACTTCAGCATTCTGCTCTTCTGTGTATTGTCTTAGGTCGCTGGTCGTTTCTCTAAGCAAACTTTTTAGTCTTGACAAAGCATTTTACTCATCTCAGTACTTTTGAACTCAGTAGCTGGGTCTTTTAAAAAAGCTGTGCTACCTTGCTTCTCCATGCTCCTTTGTCCTGGTGTTCATCATCTGAGGGTTTGGATATCTTTTCCTATTTTATTTCTTGGGGGTTAATATCCTGTGGAACTCATGAAGGAGAAAACAAACTCCTGAAACAATAAAAAAAATACAAGATAAAGACATACACTTAAAGTTAATAAAACCCACTAATGCACCACAAAATTAACACAGAAATGAAAATGGAAAACATAATATTAAGAAGTAAATTAATAACGTAAATGAATAAATAGCAAGTGAATGAGGTCAAAGAATTATGCATTGAAAGGGGAAAAAACAAAGGATAAAATAAAAATAGGAAAAGTGCATGATGAAGGGGGTAGGAAGAGATTAAAATAAAAGATATTGTCCAATAATGAAAAGTGTAAAATATTTAATGGATAAGGGCAACAAAAATAAAAATAAATAAGTTTCTAACAACAAGATAAAGATTAGAACATTGATGAAAGTATAGTTTTTAACATGGTGTGTCAGAGTGGCAGTTTTGGGGGTCCTTGGAATTGGAATCTGCCAAGTATATGGGAAGAGAAGGGTCAGTTGATCTTGTGGGGTCCCATCTTTCCTAAGATTTATGCTCCTTCACTGCCTGTGCTGGGTAGGTGTCCTCTTCTCAATAGCTTACCTCCTTAACACACTGCCCTATTTTGGTCACACAAAGGATTGCAGCTTCTAGGTGGTATGTACCTGAGGTGGCTAGCTCCTCTTCTAGCTGGAGGAGTGCCTCTTAAGTCCACTGGTAACTAGGCAAGTAGCTACAGCTCTGAAATCAGAATAGGCAGAACTGTCTCCACATTTTCTAAACCCAGGAACATCCATCATGCTGGAGGGATCCAGCCTTGGGCATAAAATAGTACTCTGGAGCCCCAGGGTTCTCAGCCTCTTTAGCAGAGAACATCTCTGCAGATAGCTAGATCCGAAATGTATTTGTTCAAGCTCCAGAGGTCTATCCATCCACAGACCTCAGGCCCAGGGATATTAAATTCCAAAGTTCTTCTTAGTCAAGCAGGGCAGCTGCTTGAGACTGTACTTTCAGCTTGTCTGTGTCTGGCTCTCCTGAATTCCAGGACAGTTTCTCACAGCCATCTGTCACCCTGGAGCTGGAGCCATTTGAATTCAAGGTCCTTACTTGTGACTGTTCCCTGTTCCGGGATTCTCTAACACCCAGAGTGGCTAAGTTTTACCAGGTTCACTCAAGATGATGCCCAGTCATGCGAAATATGTCATATTAATATCAAGTCACGGAGAATGACAAAGGGGATTCCTCTCCCCTGCTGGCCTGTCCCCCAATTGGAATCACTGTCACATCAGAACTTGCTACTGGGTTGGAGTCCTTTAAGGACTGTGGGCTTGTCCTGAGGTCAAGACGGCTCGTGGCTTTCCACCAAGGCCACTTGGTTAACTGTTCTTAGGCTTCTGCGGCTTCTTTTCACCGTGCTGCTCCTCTGTTCTATGACTCTGTGGATCACCAGCCTCTTGCTCATCCTCCCCTTGTGATGGAGTCTGTTCTTCTTCCAACTCTCCTTCACCGTGTCACATGCAGTCAGCTTCTAACCAACCGTTCTACCAGGAAGTCCTACTCAACTCATTTAAAACAAATTCCACCTATAGGAGAGAAGAAAATGAAGTACAACTTTTTAATGGGAGGCACATTGTCTTAATCAGTGTTCTATTGCTGGGAAGAGACACTGTGACCATGACAACTCTTTTTTTTTTTCTTTTGTTTTTTTTTTTGTTGTTGTTGTCGTTTTTTTTTTTTTTTTTTTTTTTTTTTTTTTTTTTTTTTTTT